CTCCCGGGGGAGGATACCCCCGGACCCCCCTACAGGGTTCTGGTTTCCAGACCTTCAGCCCCACCTACTATTTTTCTCACCAGCCGCCACTGATTATATGTCTAACATTTCTGTGTGTGTGTGTATTTTTTCCCCTATAATTAATAAACAAATATTATCTGACAATATCTCATGCAGAGATAAATGCATCATATGCAGTTTCTACACTAACATTATTACTACAGATTAGCTGAATTCCAAATATATACCTACCATTGCTCCTCACACACACAGCTTTATAGTCTGACAGGTGCACAAACATAACACTCATTACCTTTACCGAGCCTATTCCACACACTGATCATCACGCTTTACTTATATTTATACAATGCTTGATGTTGAGTGCTTTAGTCAAACCGTCCAGACAGCTGACTTCTTTCTCTACCTGTTCAGTAATAACACAGACACATTTTTTCAAACATGAACAGTGTTTCATTACAACTAGCCGCTTTTACAGGTAACATTTTATTATGGCTTTTACAATTCATACTGCACAAGTCACATTTTCAACACAATTCTAAACTTATTCAATTACTTATTTAAGACATGTACACAGATGACACATATTCAGCCTCTCCTCGTCCTTGTGTACTTTGGTGGAGTTGATCAGTCTCAATGTTCCATTCCCACCATCATGCTGGTAAAAATGCTCTGTCTGAATGTTGACGATGAAGCTGCTGATCTTTCTGTGCAGTGTCCCAGTACTCAGTGACAGCCCGGCTCTCTTCAGCTGTCCTCCAAAAAAAATATTGCTTCAGTACTCCGGTTCATGCACAGTCACAATCTTTACCATTGACACAAGTGTAAGCCAGGTCATAGGGACAACCACATATTTTAACAGAATGCCACCAGCAGTCCACCACAGCATTAGATAACACTCAAATTACACCCAATGATATTGCCATGATTCACATTTACTTCCTCAACAATGCAATGACAACACCAGAGCCATCGTTGTCCCTGGAAACTGGAAACAACCCTCAGCCACAGCGCCACCTGCTGGAAACACGAAGTGAAGTGTAAATAGGCTGCATATGCTCAAAATTCACGTTTCATGGCAGTACAAGTAAAGTTATATACATATACACACCGACTGTCTCAGTCGCACTCCCACGAGAAGCGAGGACCCGACCAATGCCGCTCTAATTCTAGTTATTATTATTATTATTATCATTATTATTATGGGCTGCAAGGTGGCGCAGTTGGTTAGCACTGTTGCCTTCCAGCAAGAAGGACGCCAGTTCACGTCCCGGTGGGGGCACCGGGATCCCCGCATGTTCTCCCTGTGCAGCGTGGGCTGTCTCTGGGTTCTCCGGCTTCCTCCCACACAGTCCAAAAACATGTTGAGGTTAATTGGTGATTCTAAATTGTCCGTAGGTGTGAATATGAGTGTGCTTGGTTGTCTGTCTCTAAGTGTAGCCCTGCGATAGACTGGCAACCTGTCCAGGGTGTCCCCTGCCTTCACCCTGAGTCAGTTGGGATAGACTCCAGCCTCCCCACGATCCTAGTGAGGACTAAGCGGTGTATAGATAATGGATGGATGGATGGATGGATATTACTATTATTATTGTTAGTGTTATTGTTATTATGCACAGCCTTACCTGTATAATGAGGTATGAGCACACACTCAGGACAAGTCCAGACACCTTCAGGGCCTCTCTTAAATGTTGGTGTCAAACAATCCATGTGATATCTGGAAAGTTCAACCACAGTTGTGGGATGAAATACCTTCAACTTGGACACATGACCAGCGACCAGCAGCTATAACGCGTACTGAACATGGTACGTACAGACAATGAAAGAGCTTCAGAGGGAAACCACAA